TGTGTGTGTGTGTGTGTGTGTGTGTGTATGTATATATATATATATATATATAAGTCGTATATTATCGTGTTCTCCACTCTCCTCAAAGCCCTTTCAGAACCTATCTCAAAGTGTCACCCTTCGTACCTATTCAAAACATGAATCAAGTTTGCTGTTCAGATATCAACCCACTGTTTGTCGCTCAAACGCCTGCTGTAGTACTCGCATACTATAGTATATATGGGAGTAAAATAGCAGCGTTTCAATATTATACCTAAGCCGTCATGTATATACAAATAGCTCTCAACTCTAGCCTTCAACACTTTTGTATGCATATTCACATCTCGACTAGCATGACTTTAGTTCATAACGAGCTTTAATTTTCAAATGTGTGTCAAAGCCCTTTTGCATAAACACCGTATTGCAGCAAACCTTTACATGTGTATCCGATGCAATACAACCTACTGTGGCATTAACCGGATGTGTGAATATCAAACAGTAGATTAGATTGGGGTTATAAGTAAAAGTGTGGTAGGATTACTGTAGAGAGCAAAAGTATACCATATGACCTAGTCGGTTATTGGCGTAGTATTGATTTCAAGTATGGACAGACCATCGCCTTCTAATCCGAAATACTGTATATTCAGTGGGTCAATGACCGCTACGCCACGGACTTCTGTCATCACGTGCAAGCTCCAGCGCATATGCGTATACTTTTCGGACCCATCAGATGGCTCAAATCGACAGCAGGTACGTCATCGGGTATTTATCTTTTGATCTGTAGTATCTCTACTAGTAGTGTCATGAATCATGCAAGTGCGGGGCAGAAGTCTTTTAATCGGTATGTTTCAATTGGTAGTGTCGCGCCCGCTTGGGATTCAAGCATGTACTGTGAGTGTATGTCAGTTGTGATTCGGCTGTATCTATGGTGTCTACTATCTACAAGTTCGCAATAGAAATAAACCATACGTGGTTTTTTTTCTAGTTTAAAATTGATCTGTGTGGTCATGTAGCGACACATGTTGCGCTGGCTTGTCATTGTGGCGGCTATAGGCTCGCATGCCCTCCGCGGCCCCGATCACGAACGATATACCGATATTAGGGTCACTTATTTGGGCACGGACTTGTGTATTGGGTGGTATACTTGGGTATGTATTATCTAAATATATACAATCTATTTGTAAGCCTATTTTTCAATTTGTGGACCAGTGAGAGTATGAGATGCAATTCCACGCAGCTTAATGTCGTATATTCAGCACTTAACGGATTCAGCCAATAAGTTCTTATATTATTATTATCAGTTAGCGTCGACAATTGTGTGATCTAAACGTGGTCCTATATATCAATACACTTATTATACTACAGCCTCTGACGATGATCTTCAGCATGCGGATATTGACTATGAGTATACCTGTCTCGTCTGCTTGGACGATATCGATCTCAATGACCCCACCATCCGCTGGTTGGGCTGTGGCCGCGAGAAGTGTCGAATGCGGACACATATGGGCTGCCTCGCCAAGTATGCGTTTTATATGTATATTTATGGATCTTCTCAAAGTTTGTACTTCACTGTACCTTTATATATCTTACCTAATTATGTGTGTCATGAATTTTCATGGGTCATACCTAGGTATGTGTATCATATGCGTTTTTATGTATCTTCACAAAGTTCGAACTTTACTGTATGGTTCTACATATTATCTAAGTAGATGAATCATATGATTTTTATATATCTTCATTAAGTGCGTGTATCATATGCGTTTCCGTACTTTACTGTATCTTTATACATCTTCTCTAAGTAATGAATCATATTTAGTTTTATATATCTTTGTGAAGTATGTGTATCATGTGTATCATATGTATCCTAATGTATCTTATCTAAGCATATGCATCGTATGTCTCTGTGGATCTTCTCCAAGTATGTGTATGAGACGCATCTTTATGGATTATATATATGTATGTACTATCTATATCCGGTTTGTCAAAACAGTCAGATACTTCTCGAGGTTTGTGCGATGTTTATATGCGCCATCATACGCTCTGATATGTTTTTTAATGAACTAAAGGATGTCTGCACAAATAGCCTCGAGCCTTCTCACACCCCATTGATGTCGAAAACGGAATCGTATGGACGCGTTTTATATCCGTGTATGCTCACTGTGTAGCACAGCTTGGACCGTGTAACTGTACTGATAACCGCCTATCGGCACTCGTACAGCTGGTTCCTGAAGGACGATCCCACACATCTGCTGCCCGTGACTGGCACCTGTCCTCTATGTCGTGAGAAACTGCGATGGGGTGATCTCATCCAAAAATATGGCGACGCACATCGGGTCGAAACAAGGTATGGCAATTCCCCTGACTTTGTTATACCTGTTGTGGTCTACTTAGTCGATTTGCACGGGTGATTGTTTAGTATCTATATTTCTCAGTGGCGAGACGTGAAACGTTGGCTTGAGGTTTCTATGATTGTCTGGCCATGGTCTCATAGTCCTTACTGAGTGCTATCGCAAAGTTTCTATCGATAGGAATATATAAACCTTCTCAAATTTCTTAACGATGTTTCTAAGGTTTGTGGTGTCGTCCTCAGTTTCTATCACTCCAACACGGCCCACCAGTGATGGGATAAGTGTTCCGTTCCCCATCCAAAATATCTATGACCTGCAGATTATATGCCATCATGTACACTCTTACCACGAATACCGAATGTATAGCAAGAGGAAAGGGCGCAGGAAAAAAGCAGCCGACGAAACGGTTGAAACTCCGCCGAAACGCAATCACCCAACAGAAACAGACACCGATGTGCGCCATGCCTCGGGGGCTGTGATTGACATAGATGCCACCCCCCATATCTCTGGCATTTTTGACGAGCTGGATCTCAGCTCCCCGAAGGTGTGTAGGCGGAAAAAGTTTGGTCGATCTGAATGTGCCGTGTTCTCGATGTTTTGTAAACACCTTTCGAGATCATACACCGGTCAATCTCTCTGGATGTGAGATTTACTGGCGTTGATGTCGAGGAGTTTTTATTTTTGGCGTGACATTGGCGTGCACGTTTATAGCTTTTACATATAAGCTGAGCTGTATTTGTCGTGTAAGCATCACGTGTTCACTAGACTACATGGGGCTACATAACAACGTTATCACAGTTGCATCATAATCAGAACTGTACTCATGCGCTGCTGCCCATCGCAACATACGAAACCCACACAATATCGAGACAAATAAACCTAGTTTATTGAATGACGAGCATATGCCTTCGTCGTCCGCGTTTTACAACAAGAACATAGAAGTAAAACCATCTTCTCTATATTTATTCATCTCACGGTTGTTGCTACCATGGCGGACACGGGTGTGCCGTCTGTAGTGTCTACTTAACCCTTTGCCAATTGCCAAGTCGCGACACTAAGACGCGCTTCCATGCACAGTACCTCCACTCCCACATCGTCTTCGTACTGTTAATGGTGGTGTATAGTTTTGCATACACTTGCGCTCCTCACACTCTTTCTTCGCACATGCAACACATCCAACCGCTTGCTGATTCACTCAAATATCTCTGACGCCGTCTCGTTCTGACCCATTTGATATTCCTACAGCCGCTTCTGCAGAGATTACAGACTCAAAGAAGAAAAGACGGTGCGAAGGCCACACAACGACGACCACGTAGTGCTGTGGATCTTTTTCCAACGTCACGGAGTGACACTTCGTTTGCCAATCTGTATCAAAGTATCAACACTGGCATAGAAGCTGATACGAACACACGACCCAGTACACATACATGCACGCGCAGAGATACTACCACCACCACATCGGACACATCTAACAGGAACAGTATAAACGATGTATTGAGTGCGACGGTAAACCCTCGCAGTACCACCCTTGTCAACGCACGCGGCAGTCCCAATGCGCACCCCAAGACGGAAACGCGCAGGAGCGCAAGCACAAGCACAAGCATAAACACCAACACCAACACCAACACCAACTCGCAGTCGGGTGTGACTGTGGATGTAGAGTTGCTCCCAGAGATAGATTCTCGTACTTCCTTGGGGAGCCGGCATAGAGATTCACTCACATCGGTCCGTTCCGGTAGTGCCGTAGCCCGAGCGCAGAGAGAGAATGTTACCATAGATACAGACCATGCGCCTGTGCCAAGCCACTCGCCACCGTTTGCGTTTGGCACCCAGCGGCAGATGTCGCACACACCCTGTGACCTCACACTCACAGGCGCGGTGAGGAATATATATGATAGTGGGTCGCCTGCGAACGAAGCTGAGAGAAGCCCACAGGCGTTGTCTCCAAGCACAAACACATCTGGAGATAGGAATAGAGAGTGTAGTAGGTATGCAGGCACAGACATATCTGGAAATAGAAATAGGGAGGGTAGTAGGTATACAGGCACAGGTACGGCTGCGGATAAATCTAGGGAGGGGAATAAAAGTGTGGATATCAGAGCGGATTCCGAGTCACCGTGTGCGCGAGCACATAGCACGCGCATACGGCTTCCCATGAGTGTGGTGGGTTCGGCTGTACGGCCGTGTGTATCGCCCGGGGGGCACGGTGCCAAACGGAGGCTGAAGCACAGAGACGCACACTCTGAGGCACCTGCGCACCCCAGAGCGGACAAGGCTGTGGATAGTGTTGGTGCCGCACCCAGTAGGAAACACAGACTCGTGAGCAACAAGAAAGAACCTATAGTTATTGATAGTTCCGATTCGGATACAGATGTGGTGCGCCGGCCGAAAAGCACGGCATCTGCGGGGATTAGGAGTGTATTTGCATATGTGTCGAACAGCCCGTTATCACCCACTCGCTCGCGGCGCCAGCTCGATGGCAAGAAGGAGGTACATTTATATAACCAGAAAGGGGACTCACACGCACCTAAATATATGTATGGACCACAGTCACCTCGACATGGGCGTTTGAATACACGCACACACCCGTCCAGTCGTACGGATGCACGAGCAAGTTCACACGCACAGATGGATGTACTGACAGACCCAAGTCAGCAGGCAAAGTCACCGGCGAAGACACCGCGCCTACGGACATACGTAGCGCTGAATGTAGACGCGCCTGTGAGCCAAACACGGCACTCCCCAGTACTGATAGCGTCACGAAAGCTTAATACCGACGAACAGGACATCACCAACCAACAACAGAACATCACCAATCAACAACAGAACATCACTAACCAACAACAGAACCTCAATCACGAGACTCCGAGTAGTAGTAAATCCCCTGGTCTCAATGTCAGCGGCGGTAGGAATTGTCGCACGACTGCGGCAGAGCGGGGCGACCAGAGGGGTCCTACGGTTGTGCTGGAGGGGCAGTCATCAGACAGTGAGGATGATTCGATGTATGGCAAGCTTTCACTGCGGGAACGGCTGGATATCGCCGGACAGTCGTGAGTTCCGATACGCTGGAGGTTCGGTATTGATTGCTAACAAATATGTAGTACATAAATGATCATAAAAATAAATATCCAGTTTAACTTGGGCCGACTGTGGGCTTTTATGGACCGATGGAGATGCCAAATCGTATGCAAAGATTACAATTGTATAGGCCACATGGTGAAAATACCTGGCGGTAAGGAGCTGACCAGCGCTCACTCACCACATGTGCACTTTAATTAAATACGTATGTAACATCTGAAGTCTGTTGTCGTACTGAATGATTCATCTATGTGATATGGCGCTCTGCATATGCTCTGTCGGGGATAAACAATATTCCATACGCACACATCTGACCACTCCACTCGTAGACCTCGACCCCAGAAAAAAAAGGGTCGTACCCTCCGTTGTGTATGTTTTGTGTGCTGATCTATATGTACATGGAGATATTGTCTTCTTAATCTGATTGTACTCTGTCGGGAATGGCTGATATTTCCGTACATATACAGGGTGTTTCACAATTCCCAAGCGTATTCGAACGCGTCAGTGTGCTGTGTGTGCTGTCAACCTCTAGATAAAGGGGTTTAAGTTCTTCGCCGTGTACACAAAGTGTGTATGATATACGTGTGCGTCATTCCGATATCCGCCTCAATCGTCCCTCAAGGCATCTTGGTTTACCAGGGTGTACTGCCGCGGCTTCACTGCCAGAATCTCCATCTCAGCATAAGGGGTAAACAATTCGTTGCTGTTCATATGTAAATCTGCTTCAGTCTCAATCCAGCGCGTGGTACGCTGACAATGGCCACTGTCTTGTGTTGCGTGTGTAGTGTATGTATGATATATGTGCCAGCATCTGCCATCTGCTTTAATCGCACTCCAGCGCGTCGTGCGTTGCCAGCGCGTACTGGCGCGGTTTCAGCGCCAGATTCTCGAGATGTGGCAAAACCTGCATAAAGTGAGCGGTAAAGTCACCCCGCGCCATTCGCGCGTACATCACATAGTGCTGTGTCCACCGCCGGTTAAACTCGATCGCCTCCATGCCACTCTCAGCCGTCCACCCGCGACTAATGGCGATCTGCGTGTGACAGCTATCGCTCAGCTCCTGATGCTGCGCCGCAAACAGGAGGTCTATGATCTCCACGGTCTTGAGCTTCTTCCCATCCTCGCCAACCACCTCCAGGCCCTTGCTCTGTGCCAGCTCGGTCAGTTCCGGCTTGGACAGCTTCGTGTACGTGGCCGACGTATAGTCCACAAACCCGAAGGAGTCTACAACCGTGGGGTTGCCCCGCTCACGGGCAAAGGTTTTGACCTTGTTTGCCGAGATGTGCTCGTTTAAGACACCCTCGTTAAACTCGCGCGCGTCCTGTTCCGGGTGCGTTTCGGGTGACCAACCGCGGTGGGTAGCCAATACAACGTGGTGTTCATCGCTTGTATCGTCTTGCTGTTGCCGAAATAGCGCGTCAATGATCTGTGGCAGGGTCAGGCTCCTCCCCCGTACTTCCACACTGACCCCGACAACCTTCGCCATCTCCACCGCCATAGCTTTGGGCTGGGACGTGAGACAGCAGAAATCAAAGAACACATCGTCCACTTCCAGACAATTGCGGTTGGCCCTGTCCAGCCGCAGCACGAGTTCTTCTCGCTCGCCAAAGATGTTCAGGCCCTTCAACAACTCTCGTAGCGTGTTGACCGGTGTCAGGCTAGTCTCGCGCTCCAGTGCATAGTGGTTGGCGAGTGCGTGCTGCTTCTGTCTGGTGGTGAGGTCTCGCGCGTCCGGCAGCGCGGTGCACGCCAGCCGGTTGAGACTATCCTTCGGCATACGCGATAATTCCACGTACTTGCTCACCCATTTGTCATTGAATTCCCTGGCACTCAGTTCATCAGCGTGGGCCTCTGTCCACCCTCGCGTCAGCGCTATGCTCTCATGTTTCGCGTCCGAGTGCAGTTCTTGTTGGCGTTTGAATAAGAAATCAATCAGCTCCGCCGTCTTGGGTTTCTTGGTTTTCCGGCCTACTATGGTCTCGTCCAGACCCATCTTGACAGCCAACTCGCACAACTCCGTTTTAGACAGTTTCTGGTACGCATTTGACGTATAATCCACAAACTTCGTGCTGGGGGACGGTGGCGCCAACGGCTCAATGTCGGATCGGCTCTCCTTGCGACAGGTCTTTAGCCGTGTGCCCTCCACATACTCGCGGGTAACTCTGCGGTTGTATTGTTGCGCACTCTCGCCCGCCGCATTCTCAGCAGACCAGCCCCGGTATGCCGCCAGCTTCACGTGATCCTCGTCCTTCATAACCATGTACTGGTGGTCAAAGAGCAGGTCGATAATAGCCGGGACCGTCATGGGGCCCCCGGACTTGTCCACAGTGCACAGACCCAGCTCATTAGCGATCGCCTTGGCTACGGTTTTGGACTTGTGCGCGATGGTGGTATAGTCCACGAACACGTCATGCGGGTGAAGCTGGTTGGTCATCGCTCGCCCCAGCCGTGCCACCAACTCTTCCTTGTTCCCGCTGGTGTTGTAGCCCGTCAGCAACTGCCGTATACGCGCCTTAGAGAGCTTGTGCACACTCTCGCCATCTTGGGTTCGCAGCGAGGCGCCCAATTGGTAGGGATCGACCACTAGCGGTATCTGTGGTTCGGAAAACATCCCCCTCGTGTGTGCCTTGAGGCCATCAGGGTTGGACATATCTGTGTGTGCATGTCCTCGACTCGGCATACTGTCTCGCGAAAGCCCCGCTGTGCTCAGCATAGGTAGCCCGTCCCCATCGCTCATATGTGTGTTCGAGCTTCGGTCATCCCGCCCATCCCTGCGATTTGCCGTTGCGAAAGGCATGGTGTTCGATCTATGCCCCTGCATATGAGTGTCACCCCCATGCGTCGAACTATGGTAGGACCCTTGAGCTAGACCAGTTCTTGAATCCAAACCATTCGAGCCCTCTCCTGAATGCCGGTCCGATATGTGGGTCGCATGTGCGTACTCAGTAGCGTGTGCCTGTGCGAACCCGTTTGTGGTTGCACCTGTTCCTGTAGTATCAGGTCCCTGATCGTGCAAGGTGGGTTTGCCTACAGGTCTACGCTCACGCAATTTAACACCCTTCAAACAGTGCACCTCCGTCCATTTCTTGTTGAAGCGCTTGGCATCGTCGTCATCATCTGCATTCCAGCCCCGAAACTCGGCCAAACGCTCGTGGTCTCTGAGCGTGATATTCGCATGCTGGTGTTCAAACATCATACGCACAACCTCAGGCGTAGTCAACTGCTTCACGTCCTCCACGCCCGCAAATACGCCCATCAGGCGGGCTCTACTAAACACCTTGTCCGTGTTCCCCTGCGCCGCATAGAGATTGAAGTCCACGAATATATCGTCCATGATCAATTCGTCCCGTTTGGCCCGGTCTACTCGCTCTACCAATTCCTCTTTGCTCCCGAAGGTATTCAAGCCTTCGAGCATAACGCGAATATCCTTGGTGGGTAACCGGTGCAGATCGGCATCGGACCACAGGTCAGCATCGGTTGATTGGGCCTGGCCTCGTGACTTTTCTGGACGGGTGCTGTGGGGAGTATAGGATAATTGGGGTATAATATGAGCATTGGTACACCGTACAGACAAGGAAAGAATCCATTTAGCCTCGTCGATGTGTTAAGATGCCTGGGCTGCTAAGCTGCCGTACTTATAATTGCAACACGGCTGAAAATGCCACAGTGGTCTGTCTCAACCTATAGCCGCACAGCCAATACACACATATTGAAATTGTGAGTGGGTAGTACTAAATTATATATGTTTATGGAAGCGCGAAAATCGCTACGGGATTTGGGAGGCAATTCTCATGCCAATATGACAAACATTTTGCGTCCCAGAACGCAATCATTCCAAATGCGCCCCCACACACGTGTGCAGCATCGGATGTATAGTACAGCCACCACACACGTGTACAGTATCAAGTGTATAGTACAGCCACCACATACGTGTACAGTATCAAGTGTATAGTACAGCCACCGCACACGTGTACAGTACATACCTGTCAATATACTTCTGCGTCCATTTCCAATTGTACTCCTTCGCAGACACCCCTTCCGCGGTGCTCCAGTTCCTATGCAGCGCGAGTGTGTGCTGATGCGCGTCCGACAGATTCTTGTGGTGTGTGGTGAACAACAAGTCCACTATATCATTCAGAGAGAGCGCCATCTTCTCCACATCCAGTCCCATCGCCCTGGCCACCTTGATCGCGGCCGATCGACCCTTACTCGCCAACGCAGTATAGTCTACTAGTAAATCCCCCGGCTCCAGCTCATTCCGCTGTAACCTGAGCACACGGGCTAGCAGCTCGTCTCTGGTGCCGACTGTATTGAGGCCATGGAGCATATCGACCAATTGGCTCTTGGGCGTGTTGTCGTCAACGTAGTAGTGCGCGTTCACGTCGTCAAACGAGTTTGTGGGCCCGGGCATAGGTTCGTGTATGTGCATGTATGCGGGTGCCTGTGTGGTGTGTAGTGTTGTGTATGTGTCTGTGAGGGTTAGCGGTTCTAAGTAGGGCTTCTCGCTCGCCCCATACTCTATGTGTGTGTGTGCGGAGTCCTGTTCGTGTAAGTGAATGCCGCTGTGTGGCTGTGCATCCTCGCGGACATACTCTTGTGCCCCACTAGGTTCGTATGTTCCGTGCGTGTGTGTGTTTATATTCGTGCCGTTGCGATGGCCTGGAGTATGCGACAGTAGCTGTGGGCCAACGCCTGGTCCGGACAAGTTTATGCCTGTTTCTGTGTGCATGCTCGCGCCTGTACCCACTGTGTTGATTTTTGTGGCATCTGCAGATAACTGCTCTATCGCACTTTGCGACTGTCTGGCTGTCTGTGACCCCGAGTGAAAGAATTTGGGCGAGTTCAGATATCCAAGTTCGTTCACCTGGGTGTACTCTGCAGATAATATGTATGTGCCTTTACTCGACCCAAGCACTGGGTCAACCCCTGCGCTGAGCGGTCCCGGAGATTCAAACACTATACCCTCATGCGCCACGTGCGTTGTCGGCAACACCTGCCCGTTCAGTTGCAAGCCTGGACCTATATAATCTACATCATGTGACTCGGTCCCATTCTCATGGACTTCATGCGCACCCCCACTCTCCTCTGTAATCCGATCTGATTCTTGCTGCGGTGACCGCGGCTCTTGTTGGGACGTACAGCCCCCTTCCGTATCACTCCTTACAGACTGTTGCTCCGCGGATATCTGGTCTACTATACTCTCCTCCGCGTCTGCATCTGCATTGTCATGTTCTATACTCTGCTCCAATATATTTCCCCGAGATTCTTCGTCAGTATCACTCCCTGCAGAGTGCGGGGTATTAGACATCTGATCCAATTCACTCCCATCCGCGGAAACACCTACATTATCATTGTTACTATCATGCTGTGGTCCCTCGGCTAATACAGTCACCTGAGGTACTCTCACATCCATGGTATCGACTCTATCATGATCTACACTGTGTGGCACTCCATTAACCTGAGATTCTATTACTTTTCTTAATACACCTATCTCATCAGGACCTACAATATCCCCTGTGCTTGGTTGAGTTTCGCTTGCAGTTGCAGCCACAGGGCTGGCTACGTTGTTTGTAAAGGGGTTCGGCTCAAGGTTGTTATCCTGCAACTCGGGAGGATCCGTAGTATCATGATCATTCATTCCCGTATCATTTAGATTGTCAGAAATATTAGTATCTGGGGTGTGCTCGCCAACATTAGTACTTTGTGCTGGTGATTTGTGATTAGACGCTGGGTCCGAACGAGGTACTTTGGAAGCGACATCCTTATCTAAGTGATCGATTGCCGGTCTTTTTTGTGTCTTTGTTGGACTGTCAGCCGCAGACTCTGTATGCACGTGATCATCGGCCGTATTCGAGCTGGCCGGAGGCCCATAGTCAGGCGCAAGATTGACTACTGTAGTGTCGTCCATAGCGGTTAATTATTCGAACCCTACGAAGTTATATATATACATATATGGCACCCATATTTTACTGAAACAAGATCCTGAATATTGTTCGTTACAACCTATTATACGACTCTCTCATGTAATCGTAGAATACTTCGGTGTAAGCTAGAGCCAGAGCCAGAAAACATCGGGCTGTGAATGTGTATCTATAGATATCATCAATATGGTGAGCGTAAATCCTACAGCCTAAAAAGCCCACGATTTATTTACTTTTTTTTTCAAAATTTATAGTGTTAGTGTAGAACTGTACACTGCAGAGACAGTCAAGGTGTATTGCTTTACAATACAAACGGTTTGGGCCCTGCTGGTTGGTCTATGCAAACTGCAGAACGGTGACTGATGTCGCCGGTGAGCCAGTGACTAATGAAAGGGCACACCGACATGTACCGAACTTTAACGAGAACCATCCGTATTCTGGCGGGCTTTTGGACTTTTGACACAAATTTTGTTTTGTTTTTTTTCAGAAGTGTTCATAACGTAAAGCGTAATTACGTTTGAAATCATTTCGGAAAGGTTAAAACGGAGTACGTTTACGCTATGAGCCTTACGTCCATAGGCACACATACAATATAAATTTTGGCTCAAAATAAATAGCATATTCAATTTTACAATTTATGTACCAGTTTCATCCCAAATTTTGTCGAGCGCGTGTGTAAAAGATCTGGACTGGTGTTAGCGTAAAGAAGCAAACACATGTGTCAATAAAGTACTGTTGTCAAGTTGAAAACTCGGAAGGTTTTGAATTATTTACACGCATAGTTCACTAGTATTGTGAACACCTTTAATGAGATGGTCCGTCAGGCTGACAAGGTCAGAACAGACCACTTTACAGAACGCAAAAATGCAGGCAATATGCCGGTGCCTACTTATATCTACTGCAAGAAAGAGTCTTAATGGACCAACGCGAAAACTCTTCGTATGCATATTGGTCGAGGCAAACACTCGTGCTGTTTCGTAGGTTGTTTCAGGACTGATGTGTAGTTCACATAATGATGAGTTCGTACATATCATCGCAGGGCAATGCCGTTGTACACAGAGACAGTTCTCTTCGCGGACTATGTCTTTCCAGCAACGGCCACAATAAAGCTACGGCATTTGAACAAGCTCTGCCTTATCTGCCACACCTGCAGGCAGCCCTAGCAGCCCAGTCCTACAAAACGAAACAGGGGATGTGTCCCCGCAACCGCCCCTTTGCTACCAGACATAGCATATGATCTACATACAACTGACACAGATGAGGTGCTTGAGACAGAACCCAATGAAGAGGCAACAGGCGGAGCATGATACATAAGGATGAATAGATGGGTCCGATGGTCTCTACTGTATGCGAACAGGCAGATGTGCTAGTCTATGTCAACTGGATCTATTCCAGCAATGTTATTTACGTCATTTTTTGAACGACTGGACTTTCAAGTACAAGTTGTTTTACGGATTTATTTACAGGACTTCGGAGGTAACGGACAAGTCAATCTCAGCCATCGCAAGTTACTTCTATATTCGTTCGATATGTTAGGGCTCCGAATGGTACTCCAATACTCTATTGAACCAAGCCAGTATATTTTCTCGAGGATGTGAAGCACTCTTTGGATTCGACCATCTCCAGGAAACCCTCGTTGGTATTTGCTGGGACCAGTCAACATCCCCACCACAGTTCCAGCTTAACGTACCTAAGGTGAAGTTTCTGTTGGATTTCTCATTCCCCAAGCCGTGGAACAGCTCGCCAAGATTTACCTCCCACCGGCCTATGGGCCTCAGAACGAGAAGCTTACCGACGAGTGTGACTTTCGGCACTTGAACAGGTTTGCTTAGATCCAAAAGTCCCAACGAGTTCCAAACGTTGAAAGATCGCCTGAACGTGGCTCGATACGATCCACGACGCCCGCGTTATACTAACGATGTCCTAGTCAAACTCCTACTCGAGAAGGGGGGGCAGCCAATCCGACGGATATGCCGCGCACGGGATCCGGTCCTCCAGGCGGTTGAGACACAAAGCTACACAGACGGCAAAGCTGAGGAAGCAAGTTTAGCCAATGAATTAGTTCTGTGCAAATCGTTCAGAAGGACGCTGAGGTAAAGCCCACCTGCGTCGACCACTACAGAATGACCAACAACTACGTGCCCATTAACCGCTGGCTTTACAGATTCCCATACCAGCTCCCCATTGAAGCGGGTATGGTCGAGTATTCACGCAACGCTATTAATATCATCAATTACTTGTACACCCGGACACGCGCGGTTACCTCACGTTCACCACAGCGGACGGTCGGTTTTATCAACTACGTTGCCTCATGGAGGACGTCGAGAACGGGTGCTACGATATGCAGCACTACATGAATACCAAATTCCGCCATAAGATTTTCAAGGCGTACTTAGACGACGGGAATCTGGCGACCTTCAAAAAGGCTGTCCAGACAATCCTGTAAGCACTTGACTACCACTGGAACGACATCTTTAGGAATGTCCGGATATGCATAGTGAAGGGCATCCATTTGCAGCCCCGCAAGGGCCAATGACCATTTCTCATGGTTTGTGCGATTATCTTCTTCGGGCGCGAGAACATCCGTAACGCTTCTACGATTTTGTTCAAACGAGCGCAAGCCTTGTTTGATTGACCAGCATCCATCAACAGTCAGGAACTTATCAGTCTCCTGACTGTCTTCTCCTGGTGCAGCGCTCTCCGACTTAACACGCAAAGGCGCGGTGTTAAGTGGGAAGTAGTACATGAGATTGTACATGCGTACTTGTTCTCAGCGGTAGGCCTACGCATACGCCTATACCACCCGCTGCCACACCAGCAACTAGTCGCAACACCGGACACTAGCAACAGAGGAATCGGTGTGGGCTTTTTTTTGTCTAGATTCCACCACCGGACGCGCCGGAATAGGAAGCGGAGCAGCAATTGGTTGGTAATACGTAGTTTCAACCTACCACCAGTACCTCCTCATCTCCAGGTGCCATGACTAGCGCTCCTTCCGTGTACGGCGAATAAACAATTCGCCCCACGCTGTAACAATGCAACAGATAAGGGTAGCCCAGTTTTGCTCTCGGCATTCTCGGACGTTCCTAAGTTAGCCGCTGACACACATACACCAACCGTGACACCAGCGGTCCAACCATCAACAACACCAAAGATTTTGTCAGCCCAAGACGCTATAGTATCAGCCATGACGACCAAAGCGACTGACCTCCCGGTGTGTTCAGCACAGCCGCGAGCTCTCGGACATCACAAAGTAGTAGCTGTGCCCCGACCAGCTCCGCCTGAAGCTCGTACGGACAGTACTCACCGTTGTGTAGCTTCTTCCACAGACCCTCCATATTCCTGGAACAGGTGAAGGCTGCTGTGGACCGGCCCATGCCGCCCATGCACTAGACCTGCTACAGAATCTCGGTTGACAAGACCGCAGGCATTGGCTCATACCGACGAACTGATATACCCATATAATCTCACACTACAGAAACCCTTGAAAGACAGGATCCGACCGGAGCAAGCCCTTCTAAATATGCACGAAATTCCGGAACCGCCCCGTGACCTGGGTATCTCTAACCTCTACCCGTCGGTCTTTCTATCAGCTAAGATGCCCAAGAGAACTACGACGCCACCAGCCGTGAGATGCTCGAATGCCGCATCATAGTCCGCAAGGTGGCCGACCCGGTACACTGCTCGTACCAACCGATGATCCTCATATCGGTCCACGAACCACTCATGAACATTTAACGGAAATCGAGCCCGTGCCTCCACTCCCGGTCCATCAAGCATAAGCGATGGCTCCGCAGCATAAAAGATATCAAAGAGACACCTTTGATAACGGTTCTATTCAGGGGCCCCACACCGTTTTCGGCGACTACCTCTTCCGTTGCTTGAACAAAACGGACGAACTCTTCCAACTAGCACAACATAACGACAGCTTCACGACTACATAACCGCTAACCGCAACAGAAACAGTCCCTCCAGAACCTGCTACATCCTCCATGATGCCTTCCACAACCCAAACAGCATTCTGAAAAAGTGTACTGTGGTACGTCGTAGATAACTGTATCTAAACGTACTCTCCCCTTACAAGGGGACACGTTGTTCATTTATTAAAATCCGAATAATAATACATGAACTCAAACTTTCATGTATTTTAAACTCAAACTTCATGTGCTTTTTCGATCATTATAAGTTATAGGATAACCCAATTTTACAGATCCTACACAATAATATAAACCAATATTTATCAAATTTAGGGTATTCCAACCCCCCACCCCCCCCGTCGCGCGCGCAAACTGAAGCACGCGTAGTGTACCAGGCTAGAGAAAAGGAGAGGAATAGTCGAG